CCTCCAACGAGATTAATTGATCCAGCCACCATTGACTTTCCTTTGCCCACTACGTCGCCGCCAGCTACAGAAACATTCCCGCCAGCAGTGGTGTTGCTTGTACCGCCCAACACAGTTACTTGGCCACCATCCAAAACAGAATCACGACCATGAATCAGCACGCCACCGGAGTTTGAAAGGCTGCTTCGACCACCACCGACACGAACGGAACCGCCTGCCGAGGTCTTCGAAAAACCGCCGTCGATCGACACATCGCCACCCGCGCCTTGAGCGTTCGCTGATCCGACAATCCTCACCGTCTGCGCCGCGGTCGCGCTGTTCACGCTGCCGCCACGCAACTCCACATCGCCGCCGACAGCACCACTGTCGCCCTGAACGAGGCTCAGGCTGCCGCCAGAACCGCTACGGACGAACACACCGCTGCCACCAGCGGAGCTGCCAGAGGCGCCACTCGACACAGTCACGTCCCCACCGATGCCGCTAGAAGACGACCCGCCGGAAACACTAACCGCGCCGCCAGATCCACTGGATGAGGAAGTTCCGCCGCTCACGTCCACGGAACCGGACAAACCTGTCAGCGAACTGCCGCCGTTCACGAGAACACTTCCTCCCGACCCCGCCGCGCCGCTGGAACCGCCCGCCACGCTCAGCAAACCACCGGACCCCGTTGTACTAGATCCGCTGGCCACACGCACAGCACCGGATGCGCCGTCCACCGCAGAACCAGACACGACCGACACAGCGCCAGATGCAGACGCACCGCTAGCAATGCCGCTTCCGACCGACACAACGCCGCTCGAGACACTGCCAGTGCCGCTAGACAACGACACCGCGCCGCCCGTCGACGAGCTGCTAGAGCCACCTGACACAGACACGGTGCCTGCCGCTGTAGCCGCATTGCCAGTTCGTAGCGACATGTCACCGCTGCTGGCCGTCGAGGATGACCCCGTAAAGACTGTCGTGTTCCCGGTTGTCGACGTGAGTGATCGTCCACTTCCGATTGACGCCGCTCCGCTTGATCCCATTACACCCGATGTGCCCCCGGTTGCACTAACCACTTGAATAGCTCCACTCTGGTTCAGACCCACGCCTGATGTGACTTGCACGGAGCCACCAGAGCGACTCGTGCTCGCCCCACCCATCACTGTGATCGCTCCGCCGTCACTGTTGTCACGTGATGAAGCAAGCGCGCTACCACCTTGGACGAAGACGTTACCACCAACACCAGAACGTCCGGATAGAGAACCCGCAGAAATGTTCACATTTCCGCCTGAACTCATCGTTGACGTGACCCCGACTTGAATGTTCACATCACCCGACGCGGATGAAGCACGGCCTACTGTCGTAATGTTAACCATGCCGTTGGCTGCTGCATTAAGTGAAATGGATCCGCCACCGGAAGAATACGCGTCTGCATTCGCTCCTGCGACAAGACGGATATCTCCTTGAGACCCCTTCGAATCGCCTGTAGACAGATACAAAGAGCCCGATTGTCCGAGCTCACTGCTTCCGGTGGAGAACTGTAGCGAACCACTGGAGCCTTGCTTGACTTGGCCGCTGGATAGGGAAACGAGCCCACTTCCAGAACGCGATGCGGAAGCTTGACTGGAAATGCTGATCTCGCCGCTCTGACCAATGCCATTGACGCCGCTTTGAACAGAAATGCTGCCACCAGTCCCGCTAAACGAACTGCTACCGGCACCGATGACAACGTCACCACCATTTGCCTTGGTACTGGTCCCAGCCTGCAAGAAGACAGACCCAGATCTCGAAGTCGAGCTCCCAGATCTAACAAAAATATCGCCAGACTGCCCAGCCGACGCACTCCCTGTTTCGATACGGACAAGTCCGCTCTGGACACCTTCTCCAGAAGACAGTTGTACACTTCCTCCACCGACCTTCGATCCAGAGCCGCCGAGCACACTGACAGCTCCACCGGTTTCGCCACCTGCGCCGCCAATGACAGAGATGGATCCTCCAGTTCCGCTCGTTGCCGACGTTCCTCCAACGAGATTAATTGATCCAGCCACCATTGACTTTCCTTTGCCCACTACGTCGCCGCCAGCTACAGAAACATTCCCGCCAGCAGTGGTGTTGCTTGTACCGCCCAACACAGTTACTTGGCCACCATCCAAAACAGAATCACGACCATGAATCAGCACGCCACCGGAGTTTGAAAGGCTGCTTCGACCACCACCGACACGAACGGAACCGCCTGCCGAGGTCTTCGAAAAACCGCCGTCGATCGACACATCGCCACCCGCGCCTTGAGCGTTCGCTGATCCGACAATCCTCACCGTCTGCGCCGCGGTCGCGCTGTCCACGCTGCCGCCACGCAACTCCACATCGCCGCCGACAGCACCACTGTCGCCCTGAACGAGGCTCAGGCTGCCGCCAGAACCGCTACGGACGAACACACCGCTGCCACCAGCGGAGCTGCCAGAGGCGCCGCTCGACACAGTCACGTCCCCACCGATGCCGCTAGAAGACGACCCGCCGGAAACGCTAACCGCGCCGCCAGATCCACTGGATGAGGAAGTTCCGCCGCTCACGTCCACGGAACCGGACGAACCCGTCTCCGAATCGCCGCCAGTCACGAGAACACTTCCTCCCGACCCCGCCGCGCCGCTGGAACCGCCCGCCACGCTCAGCAAACCACCGGACCCCGTTGTACTAGATCCGCTGGCCACATTAACAGCACCGGATGCGCCGTCCACCGCAGAGCCAGACACGACCGACACACCACCAGACGCAGACGTACCGCTAGCAATGCCGCTTCCGACCGACACAACGCCGCTCGAGACACTGCCAGTGGGGGATCCT